CTCCCCAGCAGCCCAGCTGTGCCTGTCCCCTTCCCCCCGCCCCTCCCGTGCAGCCCAGCTGTGCCCACCCCCGCTCCCCATACAGCCCAGCTGTGCCTACCCCCGCTCCCCATGCAACCCAGCTGTGCCTGCCCCCCTTCCTCGCACCCCTCCCCGTGCAGCCCAGCGGCGCGGTGCCCGCCCGCCGCGGCTCTTTACCGGGCCCCTCTCCGGCAGCGGCAGGACCGCGTTCCTCCGGCGCCCGCCGATCCGGAACCGGGCCGCCTTGTAGATCTTCCAGTAGACGAAGAGCACGACGCAGAGCGGCAGGTAGAAGGCGCCGCAGGTGGAGAAGACGGTGTAGGAGGGCTCCTGGCTGACCTGGCAGCGCTGCTGCGCCGGGCTGTAGGTCTCGCCCCAGCCGCAGAGGGGCGCCAGGGAGATGACGGCGGAGAGCGCCCAGGTGAGGCCGATCATGAGGTTGGAGGTGCGGCGGCGGGCGCGCAGGGTGTACTCCAGGTGGCGGGTGATGGACCAGTAGCGGTCCAGGGCGATGGCCGTCACGTTCCAGATGCTGGCCGTGCAGCACAGCACGTCGAAGGAGATCCACACGTGGCACAGCGCCCGGCCCAGCCGCCAGCGCCGCCCGGCCGACAGCTCCTTCACCAGGCTCAGGGGCATGACCAGCGCCGCCACCAGCACGTCGGACACGGCGGTGGAGGCCACCAGGTTGTGGGGCACCCGGTGGAAGGTCTTGACCCGCAGGATGGTCACCAGCACCAGCAGGTTCCAGAGGAAGGTGGCGATGGTCAGGAGGACCAGCAGGGTGAGGATGAGGATGCTGAAGATGGAGAAGGGCTCCCGGCTCCTCCAGGCGCCGCCCCCCAGCTCCGAGGTGGCGTTGCCCCCCGCCGGGGCGGACGACGCGTTGATGTCCATGGCTGGCTGGCCGGGGAGTCTGGATGCCCATGGAGCTGGGCTCTGGGCCATCCCCCAGCAGCGGGCGGGCGGGCGGGGAGCAGCGCTGGGCTAGGCGGGTTGCGCGCTCCGTTTGCGCGCCCAGGGGGAAGCCAGCGCGGGTCCGTTCTTCCCGGTGCGGGGTGCAAACCGCCGGAGAGACGCGCTCCCGGGATCTCCGGAGCCTGCCCCTCGCTCCCGGCTAAATGCCCCGCGGCCGAGCGCGGAGCCCGGGCTGGCCGCCGCCTGCAGTCCGGGCGCCGGGAAGCGAAGTGAGTCTAGGCAAGAGCCACGCTAGGGCTGCCTCCCTTCAGCGGCTGCTCCCTGCCGTTGCCATGTGCTCCCGTCTGCCTCCCAGGCAGGGAGGGGGGCGCTGTGCCGGTGTGGTGTGTTACACCGGCCAGGCGGCACCGGCTCCCCGCTCGCCCCCGGTCCGTGGCACAGGCTCCCGCTGCGGGAAAGGGCGAAGGGAAAGAGAAGCTCGCTGGGGTCCGCCTGCTTCGGGCGCTGGGCGGAGCCAGTGTAGCAGGAGAGCAGTTTGTGCTGCTACACCTGTAACAGCCAGGGCACTCACCCCTCCTCCAACCATCCCACCTGTCCCCTCCTCTCTCAACCAATTCATCCCCCCCTATAACAGCCAGAGCACCGCCCACCCCAACCAACTCATCCCCTCTGTAACAGCCAGAGCACCCTACTCCCCACCAACCCACCCCCTTCCTTGGTAACAGCCAGAGCACTCTACCCCCACAACCCCTCCTGTTACAACCAGAGCACCCCCTCCCCAACCAACCTACCCACTCCCTCCTCTGTTACAACCAGAACACTCCACCGCTCCCCACAACCATCCCACCCACACACCCCCTATACTAACCAAAGAATCCTACCCCACCCCCCACTCAGCCTCCCATCTCTGTAACAACCAGAGAACCCCACCCCCATCTAAACAGTTAGAACACCCTACTCCACCAGGGTGCAACCAGATAGGGTGCTCAGGGAAAGGACCCCTCTCCAGTAGGGCACATGTCCTGAGACAGAGAAGAATGAAGGGCTCAGGGTGACCCTCAGGCATAGCTTGCAGAGGGCAGAGCCAGCTGCAGGCAGGTTTGTGGGGCTGTAGCCAGCATAGGAAGCATCTGCCCTTCTGTTCCCCCCAACCCCCCCCCCCGTGCCAAGGCAGGGCCTAGCCTAGAGAGCACAGGGGGAGGTGCTGTACATTCTTGTGGACCCCTGCGGCCCCACTCCCTGTGGAGAGACACTGCATCTGGACTGCAGCCCCCCTCCCCGCTGATCCCCTGCTTGGGGCTGGGGGAAGTCCTAGGGCCTCCCCTCCCAGCCCACAGCACCACGACTTGGCAGAGGGGCTCCCCCGTTGGGCAAGGGTACAGATAGCACAGTCCATTACCTCCTCTGTGGGCAATGCACTGCTCCCTCCTCTGTACCAGCACTCCTACCCCTCCCTCCTCTCTAACAGTCAGGACACCCCTTCCCTCCTAGCAAATAACTACCCCACTGCCTCCTCTGTCAGAGCCAGAGCACCCTGATCCTTCCCTCCTCCTATATCACAGTCAGGGTATTCTCTCCTCCTAAACAGATTAAGAGATTTTTAAGGCCAGAAGGGATCATTATAATCATCTAGTTTGACTTTTATTTGCAAGCCACAGAACCTCACCCATAAATTTTTGCAGCAGGCCCGTAACTCCTGTTTGAGCTATTGCATGTTTTTAGAAAAAAATCAAGACTGGATGCAAAGACTTCAAGTGACAGAGACTCCACCACATCCCTAGGTAAGTTGTTCCAATGGTTAATTACGCTGACTGTTAAAAATTTGCACCTTATTTCTAGATTGAATTTGTCTAGTTCCAGCTTCCAAACATGACCTCTTGTTAGGTCATCTGCTGTAGATTAAATAGCCATCCACTATCAACACATGATTTTACAAAAATGGAAGAGCAGGCTTATGCCTAGAGTAGCGTGGTACTTGGACCTGACTGAGGGAGAAGCCAGGGAAATAATAGCTTTTAACTGTAGAGAGCAATTAAATGAATTTGAAGAAATTTGGACCCATTTTGAGATGTATTTGGATAAAAAAAAAGTTGAGATGGCTGAAAAAATGCTAGACCTCCATTTCTCTGAATCCCTTCTCTTTTTTCCTCCTCTCCCTACCTAGATATGTCTTCTCTTTTATTACTGTTACCCCCATCCTAGCATTGTCTATGTAATAGTACTGTGTGGTCCTGCAGTTTTGACAAGTTGTAAAATTGCATAATTCTGTTGGAGCTCCTGTGAAGCACATGTATTTGGAAACAAACGAGCTGTAAGTCATTTACCATTTTGTGCCTTTCATTGTCTGTTTCTTTATGAAAATGAATCACAAAAAAAGAAATCTCTTCCCCCTGGAGATACTTGTAGATTGTGATCAAGTCAGCTCTTAGTTTTCTTTTGGATAAACTAAATAGACTGAACTTCTTTAGTCTTTCAGTGTAATGCATTTTCCAGACCTGGAACCATTCTTGTAACTCTTTTCTGAACCCTTTCCAGTATTTCAACATTCTTTTTGAAATGTGTGCACCAAACTGCACACAGTATTCCAGTGATGGTCTCATTAAGGTGGTATACAGTGGTAACACCACCTGCCTACTCCTACTTGATATGCCCCTGCTTATGTAACCAAGGATCACATTAGCCCTCAACTATAGAATTGCAAGGGGAGCTCCTGTCCAATTGATTGTCTGCAATTACCCGCAAGTCCTTTTCATTGTCACTGCATTCCAGGATACTATCTCCCATCTCGTAAGTGTGACCCAATTCTTTGTTCCTCAACGTATGACCTTGCATATGGCTGAATTAAAAAGCAGGTTGTTCAAATGAGCCCACCTTAGCAAGCGATCCAGGTTGGTGTCTAACTGACCGGTCACCATCATCATTTACCACTTCTGCAATTTTTGTGTCATCTGCAAATTTTACCATCAAAGATTTTTCTCCAGATTATTGACAAAGCTATAGAATAACATTGGGGCAAGAGCAGCTCCCTGTGAGACCCTCTAGAAACATCCCCATAGGAGGATGATTCCCCATTTACAATTACTTTTGGCAGTCTATCAGTTAAACAGTCTTTCATCCATTTAGCATGGGCCACAATGATTTTGTATAGTGCGTCTTCTCTCTTAAGTAGAAACCCCGCATCTCTTTCCCTCCTGACCAGCTTCTTCAGGCTGCACAAATTCCCTGCCAACACTATAATATTCCCAGCAAGCCAGACTGCCTAACCAGGCCAGCATCTGCGCTTTTCTTTCTCTTCGAAGGCCATGGACAGCATGATGGCACGAAGTTTTTAGTTATGAGACAACTCTCTATAAGCAAGTGCATGTATTCTTAAGGTGAAAGCATTATAGAGAAAACCTATTAAAAAAAATAAAAGAACCTACACACATGCTAAAAAGCTTACCAGGGGTCACCCCAACTGCAACCCTGGGCTTTGGTCGATGTCAGTCCTTCAAAACCCTCAACTGAGTTTTCTCCATGGTTTCAAGTTCATGACTGTCTCAGATTTAGAACCAGAACCACCATAAATAGTTCAATTTTATCTTTATATAGCTTGGGCCTTTGATCTTGGCCTCGAGTAACAGGTGATCAGCAGACAAAGACTCACTTCTCAGAGGGTAAAAGGCTGGGTTGTTGCATAACCAGAGGTGGAGAATTTGCATTAATCTCTCCCTGGGTATTTCCCATGAAATCCATTTCACACATATTGTCCCAATAGTCCATTCTTTTCTGGCATATTGTTCAATGTAGTCCTTTGGTCATCCAGGCCTTACGTCACATCTCCTCCCTAGAGATGTTGCATACAATACCAGCCCACAATAATACATAAATGTTGCATTTAGTATAATGGACCCCAAAGATACTTCAACTCAATTCATTAAAGCTTTTCAAGGATATTACAGGAAATTTTCAATCTGTCACATTGCTCCCCCTTTCATAAAAGAACAAAGCAGGGGTATATGACAAATACCGCAAGGACCTCCTGGCACCCCACTGCTAGACAGAACATCTGCTGTTACTACTTATTAATTCAAATATCATACATTTGTTCAGCTGGTAAACAATTCCAGTGATTATACCAAAATACAGTTTAATGAGAACATTTCAGGTCAGTCCCTGTGCTCACACCCTCTTAGGGAGAGGTGAGGTGTGTTCCCTTTCCCAATCCCCCTCAGGTTTTATGTCTCAACTGACCACCCTGAAATCATAGTTTTTCAAGGATATTGCAAGAAATGGCTATATCTGTCACAAAATGCCTTACAAAACTTTACGTATATTATGGCAACCCAGTTAGTTACCTTTATCAGCCTAACTTGTGATCTCACCAAGAAACAATATCAAATGTTTATTTGAGGAGATCTATTTTCCATTATACCATATTGATTAGCTATTGTACTTCCTCCTCAGTGACGGACAGCATAACCCTACCCCTCTCTACTCCTAAATAACCAACCCCATCCACCTTCAAAACGTGAGTCCCCAACCACATCAGCTCCTCACTGCCTCTTTCATAGTGATAATTAGACCCACCAAATCCAAAGCCAATGGGTATAATCAGTGATAAAATTTGGAGTGGATTAGAAGTGGGAAAGTTGACCCATGCTCTTCACCCTTGTCAGATAGAGGGAAACAAACAGAGAAAAGACAGCAGAGAAAAGGTGAAATACATACCTTCCACTTTTCTCCCTAATTTCAGCACTAACTCTTGAAACATCTGAAAGGGTTGTTGGAAGAATACTGATGCCCAAAACAGTTACCATCTTTACTGGTGCTATTCTGAGCAATACACTTGAAGGGAACTGGCTCCAGTTTGAGAGAAGAGTGAGTTCTTAACATTGTAAATCAAGCAATTTATACCTACTCTGATTAGATGCAAGTCATATATTATAATCAAGTGTTATTCAGGCAAATTTAATACTAATCAGTAGAAGAAATAGAACATGGTTTAAAGTAAATAACTGAAATTCCTGGGAATCAGTTTGTCTCTATGG